ACATTGGAGTGTAACCTCCTCTGGTACAGAGACTAATGTGACTGGCTCAGTGTTCTCTGTACAGCACTGCGGTATATGTCAGAGCTATATCAAAGTTACCGCCCCCCCCGTAACTTGTTACCTTCATGTACAATCAGGAAGGGGGGTCTTCAGGAGGCGGAGCTTGGTATGTAGCAGGCTTTACCAAAGAGCGATCAGGAAGTGGAGCAAAGTTGCTTGAGTGGTAAGGTAAGTGTTTAAGCAGCCCGACGATGGGGATGGGGAGGGAGAACTCGCACACAGCCTGCACAGATCTCGCAGCCCACCTGAGAGCCCACACAGCCCACCTAGGAGCCTGTACAGGTTTAGATGTGCTAGTTGATATATGAAGCGCAGTTAGTGAAAAGGGAGGGCAGTTAGTGTTAGTGATAAGGGAGTACAGTTAGGGGGTTTTTCACAAAAGGGTGAAGAGAGTGGAGAAGGCAGGAGAAGTGAACAATCTAAGCCAAAATAACTGATTTGGAAAAATTCTCCAATTCAGCTCACTTTCCAGTTCTGCCTTCTCCAAACTCTTCACCCTTAGTGAATAACCCTTTTAGTCTTTAGTGATAAGGGAGTACGGTTAGTGTTTAGTGTAAAGGGAGACCGCTTAGTGTTAGTGTAGGGTCCTGCTCAAGAGTCTACCTTGTGGAGGCAGGCTTCATAATTTTTGGGCTAAATATTGTTTCTTATTCTTAAATATTGAATGCACGGATGACTTGGAATACACATTTCAACTTCATATATTAAGTTGTAACAGTGTTAAAATAAAAGAAAGTGCACTGAAGGCCATTGGGCGGACTCGATGGGACAGCCGGCGGCGTGGGGGCCCCAGGCCTAAAGCTGTGTAAGGGGCCCCAAAATGACGCGCTGCCCGTCTTCCTGATACCGGAAGTCCTGGGCTAGGCATTTGGCGCGTATGAGTACCCACATACTCGGCATCGGCACCGATACTAGTATTGGTATCAGTGCATCCCATACTTGGTAGCAATTATTTTCAGAAGAAGGCCAACAAAGGCAAGTCCGTATATTATTGTCATGTACCTTTGAAGAGTTAACCAAACCCAAACTGGTATTTATTGTAGACAGTATTTATCTGTCATATTTACTGATGTACAGTATATGTTTACTCCCTCTAGTGGTGATATTCTACCATTTTCTAGCAGATAATTTGCACCTACACATTCACCATAGCTGTTATAAAAACAGGTTAAGTGGATCACTCACACATGGAATCTCTCTTGATCTATCACAAGAGGGCTTATGCAAAACTGAATATTCAATCCTAAATTATCTTATGTATAGGTTCACCATGAAATATTTATATTTTCCCTCTTATGTATCTTAACTTATTCTGGACATTAGAGATTATCTGAAGTCTGATTTTGGCCATAAGCCTAATGCTAGAATTATTACAAACAACGGTCACTTTTAGAAATGGATTGCACAAAAATTGGTGATCCTTAGTTTGTTGTGGTGAATGATTGTTTATAACCAAAAGTTCTGTTTTAAAAGAAATAGAATGTATTATGAATTGATCATGTATTGCTGTATGTATGGCCAGAATGACAGCTACTGGTCTCACAACTTTCTGCCCTCATACTAGCAAACATATGAAGCCTCAGCAACAATTTCCTGTTAACCATTCAGCCTCCAACAGGCATTTCTGCAGATCGAATATGAAAGTGAAACACGTTGGGAGCATGAGCAATAGGAAATTTTTACTTTAACACAATTTTCAGACATCAACTCAGCGCCCACTTACAATCCCGCTGTGTCCACCGGCCGGCATCCGTCTTCCAGGTTCCGTCCCTTGCGAACGTGCGCGTCGCAGGGGGGCGGAACCGCCGGGAATTTTAAATGTAAAAAAAATAGGAACAAAAATGGGAAAAAAGAAATTAAAAATCAGACCGCCAGGAAGGTTAAGTTACCATGTTCCCAAGTGGGTGTTTATTTTACCAAGGAATATTGAAGGCATGGTGAGGGTGTAGCGCTCACCCCCTAAGGAGCCGCTGGATGATTGGGTCTTCCATAGCCTGTCTAGGGATTTCTAGTAACCAGGCTGCCCCAATAGCACTTACCACCTCCAGTGGCGACCGACAAAGCGTAGTCCAGACAGTAGATAAAAGCTGAATTTCTTTTATCGCTGAACTTCAGAGAGAGAGGGTCAGGGTCAGACACATACAGGACGAGGTAGACTCCTATAAGAAATAGAACAGAGTAACTGCTGCCATCACAGACTAGGACCTTGCCAGACACGGCAATCTGTCCAGAGAACATCAGGCAAAGCAGTACTTCAGAAGTCTTCGTCTAGTCTCGGGAGGGGCACCGCCAAAAAATAAGCCCCCCCCCATCTGGCTCTTCCACTGCTACTGTGCCACCCCTTTCCTCTCTCACCGCCTATGTGTGCCCCCCCAACTCTCCTTCACTGGACCTCCAGATTCAGGCCACAGTGTCAGTATCAGGCTAGTCCCCAGGCTTCAGGCCCAGCCAGTTCAGTGGGTAAGCAGCAGCCTTCCCCCAGGGAGGCCTGGGGGAGGGAGACTCACTCTTACATCAGCCACACTGGGCAGTTATATCCTTTCCCAGCATGCATCACTGGCCTGTACCTTCAAGTGATTGGCTAGGAGACACAAATGCTCAGAACAATCCTTATTGGCTGCTCTGCTCTGTGGCATAAACACACCTAGCAACAGGCAGATACAGCATCCATAGATTGTTCTGAGGAAATGAGATGAACATAACTACAGATCTATCCCAGACTAACTACAGTCTGAGAATAACTACATTTCACAGCACTCCTGTTGGCAGGGTGCTACACGGGTATCATGATTTCAACTTTTATTTTATTTCTGTACTTTTTTGCACAAACATTTATTTATGCATGAACTTTATCTAGTGGCCAGCTGTCATCATTTTACTTTATTTGTTATTACTATATAATCCTCTGCCTATTCCACTGCATCTAACCTGGAGGCCCTGACATGGAGGAGGAACGTGAATCCACGGAAAGACCACCTTTTTCTAGAAGTGTTATTGTTATGAACGAAAAGTTAATCCTCTATTCTGATCAGCTCCGCTGGTAAGCTTATGAACTTTTACCTACATCCAGCTTTTTCTACAGTTGTCCACCGTTTAAAGACTATTGGATTAATTTACAAAAGCTTTAACAAATGTATTATGTAAATTAATGTGCATAATGTTCACTTTTCTAAACATATGGTTGTGGTTAATTAACAAAAGAAATTATGTTTATTGTTTGTTTGTGTTATATTGTATTTCTTCAAGTATTTTTCCAAAATTACATAGTATTATAACACTCTTTTTCAAATACAATGATTTGAAGAGGATATCACTCTTTAAGATACTGCTAGCTTCTTCTTGGCAATAATTGTGAAATTCTGTTAAGTGGAGTAGGAAAGGGAGCTATCTATCTGAAGTGCAGATAGTTACTGTATATACTAATAATAATATACTGGTTCGAGAAATGGAGGCTTCCAATAGCTGAACATCCATTTTATGTAAACAAAATGACTGATTCTACACCTATGCCATATTTATGTTTGTGAATTAAACACTTTTATCAGAACATTAACATATAATACACAAATGTAGTTGAAAAAGCTCTCACGTCCTAAACTGGGAGCACATGGATCGAATTCCAGACAACTCAGCAAGAATTGGCCGAAGTTTGTTCTGTGGGTGTCCCTATCCCCATGACAAAAGTAAATAATTAGATTTACTTTTTCGAGGGAACAAGCTTGCCCATCTGCGGCCCCGGACCAGCTCGGGAGGGCATCAGGAGGTAAGATGGGAACTGTGAATGCGGAAGTCATGTGTAATACATCACTTCTGCATTCACCTGTCAGTCATCTGGCTGCTATAGCCAGAGAGAAAAAGCTGATGAAGCAGATCTGTGCTTCATCAGCTTCCTTTAGGGTCCCCAGGTGACATTAAGGGTCATAAAGACCCCTAATGTCTCCATAAAAAGGACCTGTCAGTGTGCCTTTGCTATTATATAGTGGGATTGTTATCCCCCATGTGAAAGCAATAACAATAAGTGTAAAAAAAATAAGTCACATATAAAAAAAGTTTTAAAAAAACTAAAATGTTTAAGTCCCCCACCCCCACGTTTGCGCACATATAAACGTAAATACGCGTTCGATGCGCCAGCGTGCGAAAATGACAATTGCGCTACACGTTACATATCGCCAGGAACATCGGAGTGAGAGCAATCATTTTAGGGCCATCAATCACTGATAACACTAAACTGATGAGCGGTAAAAGCTTTTAAAGCGTCGCCTATAGCCAATTTTGGGTATTGTCGTTTTCGGAGGTTTCGCACGCGCGCGCAATTTTAAGGCTTGACATGTTTCATGTCTATTTACCCGACGTGGCCCCATCTCTTATATTTTAGCAAAAAATTGGGTAATAATAAATGTTTTATCATTTAATTTAGGGGAAACAGTTGGTTTTTTTCGGTAATTTTTCCTTAATATATTACAAAATAAAACGTAGTGGTGATTAAATACCTCCAAAAGAAATCTCTATCTGTCCCCAAAAAATGGTATAAAATTCTTTACAGTACAGCGTTGCATGACGGAATAAATGTCAGTCAAAGTACCGCAGCGCTGAATACTGAAAAATGGCCTGGACAGGAAGAGGGTGTAAACACCATGGACTTCAAGTGGTTAATACCTACCAAAAACATAATTTGCACTTAATTTTTTGAAATATATACTCTGTGTTTGGGTGAGTGCTCCAGTTTTTTCACATTAAAAAAAATGCTGTAAATAAGGTTATAAAGTGCTGCCACGAAATCATGGGGGGAAAAATGGATTAAATAGATTCAAGTTCCATTGCAGTATGATGAGGTTTGCATAAAAGGCATTGAGCTAAAACTTTTCTCATTCATTTTTGTTTGTTTTTATTCTCTCTATTGCAGGAAAAAAATGATTTGGTATAAACATATAATAAAATACCTTTATTCTGTCCATGCAAGCTTCCATCTTGAGTTGCTCTACTGCATTCCGTGCTTGGGAGATGCTAGTTGTGCTGTTGTTAGACACAATGTCCTTCATTGTACGATTCTAAATGCAAAAAAAAATGACAAGGTTTAAAAATAAACTCTAACTTAAATACAAACTGTGAAAAGAGATTTTCAGCTCACATATTGCAAAACAAAGTATAAACAATCATTTTTTGGTGTCAGCCCCCAAAAAGAAATTAGGATTTGAGTTAATTTGTGACTGGATCAACAGGCATTTTTCTTTATTTGCAGGTTTTTTAAAGGGATAAAACACAGAGAAATATACATTTTTTTGCCCTGACATAAATTTCTAGGCCTGTAAGACTGTCACTCTTTTGCATCTGTGTCAGATCGCAACATCATTTTGAATGTTAAACGTGTATTGTTTCTAAGCAGTTTAGGAACAAAAGGGAGACATCTAGTGTCTCCTGAGTATATAGGTTTCCATTTGTCTATTTATGTAGGTGCTGCTGGTTTTATATGATAAAGTAAAAGAGAGACACCTAGTGGTGATTGTTGTAAATGCATCACTATACCTGCTATAAATACAAATGATTAGTGTAGCTGGATAGACCTGACGTTCCTCCTGAAGACGTCTTTGATGATGAAATGCGTCGGGGGCGGGGTCTATCTGGCGCTACACTGATGCGGAAGTGCAAACTGTTTGTCTTTTGCAAGTTGCTCACGTTTGATGTGGGTTTTTAAAAAGCTTATTTCAATAAACTCATCTCGACTTACTATGCAATGAGAGGCTCTTTTTTCTTATAATTGCGGGGACCTCATCTCCTACGGGATCTTGTTGTGGAAACATACAGAGAAAGAGCTGGGCAGCCTGCTAACATACAACTAAGCCCTTTGGCTGTGAGCTTGTGAGCTTGTAAGGTACTTAAAAAAACGTACGATCTGCCTATCTTGCATAGGCAGATCGTACTTGCGATGATTGCAAGCCACTCCCCCTGAGGGGCGGGCTTCCGATGACCGCAATGCCGAACGGGCAGAGTGCGCTTGTGCACACCGGCCCGTACGGCTGTTATCGTACAGACATGCCACAAACCCGCCGAACGTCGTACGATGCTCGGCGGGTTTTCGAACATGTCCGTAAGTTCAAAGTCGTGCGACCTTACAGTAGTAGAGGTCGCACGGCTTTCACACCTTACGATAATCGTACGATCGCGGGATTTCCCGCGATTATCGTAAGGTGTGTGGGGACCTTTAGGCCCTGTTCACATGATTTTCAGGTCCGGATCAGGTGCGGATCTGCAGACGCGGTGCTATGTGTTTTGCCGCGTTTTGGCCGCGTTTTTTTTTCCTGGAGTGGGGCTGTCAGTATGTTAGCTGCAGTGTATAGACATCAGGGGGTCTCTATGACCCGTAATGTCACCTAGGGACCCCCAATGAAGCTGATGAAGCAAAGATCTGCTTCACCAGCTTTTACCGGTATTCTGTACTGGAGAGTAACACTGAATGCAGGAAGTGATGTAATGTACATCACTTCCTGCATTCGGGGACAGGAGAAGAGATCAAAGGGAGATTGCGTACTGATCTCCCTTTGATCTCCACTGAGAGCGCTGCCTTGCCGGTCCCAGCCGCACCAGGCATAGTGGATCTTGGGACCATCAGTGGCGGCGAGGTACGGGGGGAGGGGTGGGCGCACACCCGCAGCTCATTCAAGTGATTGTGCATCTCTAGAGATGCCCCATCGCTTGAATGTAAACAGCCATCGCTGGCTGTTTACATGCTGACAGTTTCCGCACTCGTACGCGCGCTGAGCGGTTGGAGGGGCAGGACGTCTTAAGACGCCCTCCCGCTCCTACAAGACTCCCGGCTGGCCGTTCTGGAACGGCCATGGACGGGAGGTGGTTAAACCAGAGGACGACTGGTGCTGGATTGTAGAGTGGTAAGTCTGTGGGGCACAATGCTGGAGAGGAGGAGTATGGAAGCCAGAAATGTTCCTTTTTAAAAACAAAATTGTCTGGAGATTTTTGTCAGAAGCTGGAATTGGGCTTTAAAGTGTTGAGAGACATATATGGACTGCTAATGCTTGAAAATGCTAGTTGCCTGCCTGAAGCCTGCTAGCATTTTCAAAACAAAAAAACAAGTCAGAGATGCCATTTACCATGTTTCCTTTAAATCCCTGCCTGGGAGCAGAAGTTATGTTATACCGATAGGTTTACTGATAAGTTTGTACAACAGTGACATTTGAAGGCCAAAGATATGAACATCACATATTCTGTGTGTTAGTTCTTTGTTAGAGTCCTATTTTCCCATAATATCCTAGTGCAGTGGTGGTCAACTTGTTAAATGTAGCAGGCCCTTAATGTCCTGAGGGCCACACAAATTTTATAATAACATATTATATACATTTTGTGGGACGGAAAGGCCTTGAATTTGATAGCAGGTTTAAATGCATCATATGTATCCAGCCTGTCCCTCCATGTCCTTGACAATGCCTTGCATATTAACTTTGAAAATGGCTAAAATAAAATATTCGCCCTTCATAGACTTCAGTTGGGTTTGTATTTAAGTTTGCAATTTTCAGACTTTGCGATGCATTTGACAAACGGTCTTGCAAACCCAGGCACACTTGCTCATCCCTAGTGACTTGTCTTGGCTCTGTCCCACTCCTGTATTTTTCTGCAGGCAATTTGTAGTGGGTGGACCTGCTCAATCCCTCCTGCAGCTCTGCTTTCTGCACAGGCTATATGCAGTAGACATGTGTGATTGGTTTTGTTCCAAATCAAAATTCGGATCTGAATTTCCGAATCCCAACGCACCTGAAAGTGTCCGAATCTGAATTTCCATTTCCGAATTTCTGCTCCTGCCCGAATTTAATTCAAAAACTAAACTGAATCGGACATGTGACTTTTCTGGCCAATCAGATGTGTTTTTCGGTTTAATGCATACAAATGGGTCGGAACACGGATTTTCGTTAGGGCAACATGGGAGCCATATACAGTATATACTGTACATATAATACTAAATCTAAGGCTTCTAGACCCGAATGGCATTCAGGATCTGAATTTCCAAATTGCATCCGGGAGCTCCCAAATGATAATTCCAGCCAAACAGGAAAGGAGAAATTATGACATTGTATCTGGGTAGACTGCATGGATATTAGACTTCTTACAGTAAAATATATAGCAGTGATGGCTAGCGTTTTTGATCCCAAGTACCCAAACTGCAAAGCAAAATCTATTTATTTATCTCAAAGTGCCAACACGGAAAAAAAGTATGGTATTGTGTTTTCGTTTGGGCACTGGGGTTTAAAATACGTTCAGCATCACTGCCTTAGGCAAAATAGGGAAACACACATACTCAAACATTGAATCGTTTTATTTATTATTTTTTACTTTTTTATCACTTTTTTTTTCTTTTACGTATTATTTTTTACTTTTTTTCACTTTATTGCTATCACTCAGCCCCTGTGTGATAGCAGTTGGAGGTGACAGGTTCTCTTTATTGAAGCAGGCTTATTACAAGTGATCTTGGCGGGATCACTTGTACTAAAAAAGCTGCTTCCCCGCTTAACAAAAAAACTACCTGCCCAGCACCCAGAACTGCTTGTGCTGGGCATCAGGTGAATTCAACACTCCTGTCTAGGCTTGCGTGCCACCAGAGGGGCCCCTGCGTGCCCTCTATGGTACGCATGCCATAGGTTCACCACCGCTGGTATACAGCATTTTCACAGCTGCCATCTAGGAATTCCTAGTGGACTGTGATGTGAGATGCAATAAAGAGCTTGCAATAGCCTCTATGCACAGGTACTGTTAGATGGGATAGCTTAAGGAATAAAAGGATGACTTCAACCCCCAAAACTGACTTACAAATTTATCACCGACACTTACCTATATCATCCTCAGAGTGTATAATCTAGTATCTTCTATAGAAAAAAAATGTTAAAATGGGGTAATATGGAAAAAGTTATCTCTTCCTTGCATAATGTAATCTGAAAAAAAAAATTTTATACTAACTTGTCCCACTTCCAGTAAAATCTTTACATTAAATGTAGGGATGCACCGAAATTTCGGCCTCCAAAATATATTGGTTGAAAATGGCACTTTTGGCAAAATGCAGAAAGTACCATCTTTTGGATGAAAATGCAGTGCATTCCTAGTTTCTCTCCTCCCCTCTGTGCACTGCTCCGACAATTTCCGTTTCAGCCTGACAATTCTTTCATTTTCGGTTTAAAAATGTAATTTCGGTGCATGTCAGATGCCTGCATCTGTCATTGTTTGCTGTGGTTCCATCTGGCAACCCCTACACCATAACTGTGATTGTGTGTATCGGGTGGGAGGTTTCTGTAGCTTTGCTCTGCCAGAGAGCGATGATGCCAAGTTCAGGAAAGAGTGGTGGGACAGGTAGACAAAAAGTCTTCTTTGTAGGGTTTTTATGTTTTGTTTTAAGGAGACAGAGTTGCTTTAGCCAACTGACAAACATGGAACCCAAGCAATCACTTGATTTCTCCAGTGAGAACATGATACAGGATTCAGTCACATGACATTATTAGAGTTTTTACTTTGTCTCTGATGTAATTTTCTTCCTCTAAACTACTCCACTCTATTGTGTATTGTCTGTAGCTGTAGTGAGAAAATGTGAAAGAGGTAGTGCTTTAGAAATGGTTTATGCTGCACTGATACTGTTTTTTCGGTGTCAAGTATTAGTACCGATATTTTTTTTCAGTAGTCGCCGATACTGAATACCGATACCAGAAGTCCCATTAAGGAAGCCGAGCGGAATGTAATGACCCACTGCTCAAGTTCTTGAATAGCCGAGAAGCCGGCTCCATGGAGCCAGCTTTCTGGCCAATCAGAAAGCTGGGGGTGGGTAATGACTCGCCGCCTGGCTTCCTGATTGGCTGGGAAGCCGGGTCCACATGCTCTCTCATCACCAAATTATGAGGGAGCATGAGATTGGCTTCCCGGCCAATCAGGAAGCCGGGGGGTGAATGATTACCCACCCCCTGGTTTCCTGATTGGTGGGGATGCCGGCTCCATGCGCAATGGTGACGAGGAAGCATGAAGCCAGCTTCACAGCCAAACAGGAAGCCGTGCAGAGTGTAAT